CATTTCTTCATCATTGTTGTCGGACCTCCTTCTCATTAAAGCCATGGCCGTTGAACGATTTCGATGTTGGAACCCACTGCCATCGGGTGTTTTCATGCCACCTTCTTCTCCAGTCTATTCAACATGTCTCGTGGCCTCTCAATCAGGAAACAAATTTAAACCCCAATCATCTCTTAAACCTAAGTATCTACAAAGTCCATGGCTTGGCATCAGTCTTTATCCTCGATCGTCAAATCCCAACTTGACTTCCAAAATCGCCGCCCAATCCCTTCCACCATAGTGTTTAACCTCCCAAGTCTGACGATCGTTTTGTTTCCGTGGATGCTCAAGGCCTGAGATGCCAACTTTGTCAAGGTTGATCAAAGCCCAAATCGAGTTTGATCTCATCCAAGTAAGTTTTGCTCTTTTTTTCCCCCTTAATCTATTTCAATTTATTGCATTTTATTTATTTCTTACCCAGCTTCCATCGTAAGGTTGGTTTTGATGTTCTCTGGATTTATGTTATGTTATGTTGTTTTAACTTCAGTATAATGTTGATTTGTTCAACTCATCTTTTCTTTTGATATATCTAAACAATGCTCGTGTATCTCCCTTGGTTATCTACTTTTTCCTATTTGGGGAATGCATTTCACTATTTATTGTCTACCATATTTCCAAAATTTTTTGTTTGCTGCATATCAATAAAACCATTGGTTTGCCTATTATGTTATCAAAAGCCGCACTTAAGACGTCACTTTTGTCTTATATTTCCAATGCATTGGAAATTTACATTCACCTACTGATTTCAAATTCTGCCAATTTTATTTTCCCAATTCTTCATCATAATCTATCTAATAAATATTGGTCAAGATATTGTGTTTTCAAAATGATTATTCTTGAGAATAAGCTATGAGTTTTAACAAATTCTTTTGCAATTGTTTATCTTTTCGAATCTCTTACATCTTTATCGTCCTTTCTCACTTGAAATTAGATATGTTAATTCAAATGGTTTAGGTTTGTTTTCATTGAAAAGATTGAAGATGTAATTCTCTATGCAGAGTTGTTAGCACCAATTGCCTTGGAATTTGAAGAAGCTAGACGAATCAAATAAGAGGAAATGATCTGTGTTTATAATTTATGGGATGATCCTGCTAAATCCAATGAAATTCATATCAAGTTAGTTGGTAGTGCCAAAGTGGTTGATGCTCTCAAGGACCTAAAATACAAGGTATTTATTTATTTTTATTTTTATTTTTTTGACATTAGTTTCAGTTAAACTTTCTTATAACATATGCTAATTTTATTTTATAGAAACAAGCACATGGAGTCTTGACTTGTATTGGGTTTGTAGGCTAGAGTAGCATGACAGAGGTTTTACCTATAACTTTCAGGGCATAACATCATTTGCTAAGATAATTGAGATTTTAGAAAGGTTCAGTGTTCTTTGGTTTAGCTAGATGATACCCACATGAATAGTTGTATTTGCATACCACCTTTGTTTTAATTTATTTGAATCTAAATATACTTCTAAATGCATATTAGTTGTACCATTATAATATTCAGTTCATAACAAAGTTAGAGACAAAGGGATTCTTCAGTATGATTCAGTTCATTAGTCTTGATTGAGTTTATATGGAAAATTAGGAGCTTTGCCTATTAAATCTGGTTAGTTTATAACAAAATGTTCAAATGCGTCTTTGACATCTCTCTAATTTTGGGTTTTTTCTGGCAATAGCTGGTGGTAAAAGGGTCTGTCTAGCTTTTAGCGTTTTTAATGTTACAAAATTACTTCACACAAAATAGTTAATTGGTTTTAGCTTTGATGCTTCTGACTTTCCATTTTTTTCAGCAATTATTTTACTTTCTTCATCAATTTGTTACATGGTTTGTAAAGAAATGGTGAAGCTATCATGAAGTTATCATGGTATGAAAGTGCCATCTTATGTAGCATCATTGGTTTAACATGAAGAAATCCCCAAAGATTAACCCTTGCAATATGCATTAGCTCAGGCTTTAGCGTTCTGCTTATACAATTATTATCTCATGCGCAAGACAAATTAGTTAATTATAACTGTTTTTGAATGATTTTCACACTATCCTAACAATTGATATATGGGATGAACTTTTTAAAAAAAAATTTAATTGTAAGATTTGGTATGTAATAAGGTTCCTTCTCCATTTTTTGTAACGATTGCTCTGAAAGAATACAAATTTGTGTAGACATGCAGGAAGTTAACAAATCAAACTGGTTGGTGGAGAGCTCTCAGTTATAATTGTTATTGATATAAAGTTATGGGTGATGCACGCTAAAGTTGCTGAAAAGTTTGTATGTTGCTACAATTAAATAATACTTGTTG